CGTGGGCGCCATTTTGTGGCGAGGGAGAGGATTTCGCTTCTGGTATAGTAGGCGGTAACAGTAGACAGAAGCCCGAAGAAGAGCAGCATATTCCCTTTCCGCCTCCCAGCCAGCTTCTGAGCAGTCCTCTAACTGTGCGGGCTTCCCTGCCAATGTGGGTGTGACTTGACAGCAACAGAGAGGGCCTCTCAGAGGGCTAGGCCTGAGCCCTGGTAGGATGTGCTGCTGTAGGACAAAGCAGAGCCACTTCTGCTCCCGCCCTTTCCTACCACACCCGTCTTACAAGGCGACTGAAAAGAGCAGTTCGTGAGCAAATCTGGGTGTGCACAATGACAGGGCACGCCAGATGGATTGGCTGCCCCAGTCCCAACCAGGGAGAGGATATGGCAGATGGGTTCTGCGCAGAGGTAGCTCTTCCAAAACCTGGGCGCAAGCACTGTTACCTGACAAGGTGCATGGCGCTAGCAAGGTGGCAGAAAGTGAAAGGCAAAATTTGCCATCATGACCTTATTATTAACTTGACACATTAAATTATGGTGTACTGTTAAAGTACCAAACTCTCCCTGATGCAGACAGCAGGCCTCTGGTCTTCAGTGAGACACTGTATTGTGCATTGGCAGTGAATTTTAATCCACCTCTCCATTTTTCAAAGGGTTATTTTCTCTCTGCTGCATTTCCTTCAGTGCATCTAATGTAAATAAAAATTCATACTTGAATATGAACTAAGCTACAGCATCTGTGATTCCTGACTGGGTTTGAGATGATGTAAACCCTGCCTATTCCTATTCCAGATGCCTCTTTGCCTGATGTTGAGGTCTATTAAATATACAAAGATGCCTGATCAAAAAAGAGTTGGGACAGGGAATGCTTCTACTAGACAATTAAATGATGGGTGCAAAATAGCTACTGTTCAACTGTGGGGATTAATACCTTAACTTAGCCTATCTGATTCCATTAACTGATTGCATCAAAACTCAGGGCTTCAGTTTGCCCTCTCTGGAGCTCGTTTCTTGGTATTTATAATAAAGATACCTAGAGGAAATGATCTCTAGGCAGAATAACACATTTATTGAGGTCAGAAAGGGGCAGATTTTATAAAGGTTGCATAGATGTTCAGTGGAATTTTCAGAATTACATGAATATTTACCTACCATTGAAACAGATAGATGTCTAGAAGTTTTTCAAATCCCATTAAGCACAAAATTATTTTAAAACCTGTCTGAATGATGTAATGTACATTGCATTTTTACCTTCTCACACTGAAATAGAAAGTTAGTCATCAAAACTACAATTCCAATCCATGTCTACAAATTCAAAATAACTCCCTCAGCTCCAGTTTACACTGTCTAAGCAAGAGCAGAGTTAAGCCTGAATCTGATTTTGACAAATGTTGATCAGGAGCCATTAAAATAAATTAAAGATACCAGGGGCAGGTCCTTGTGTTAAGAAAAAAAAAAAAAAAAAGCCGTATTTTACATATGAAGTATTAATGCATGGGTTTTTTTTTTCTTGACAGCTGGAAATAGTTTGCACTTCCTCTATTTCTAAACACTCAGCTTTCTAAAGGGTATGGAGTGGGGAAGCAAAAGAAGTAAAGTTGGGAGGATACAGGTTTTTCAGAAGTCACAAGGAGATGGTTGAGTCTCCTGTTGAAAATGCAGCCAGACAAACTTTTATCTAATTGTGAAATAATACTTTCAGATTCTTTTGGATTTATGTTTGTTCCTGTTACAAAGGTACACGCTGAGATGATATTTGGCTTAAAAAAACTGAAAGGCATAAGGCTATCAGCACGAATTGATAGGGCTGAAACAAGGAAATCTGAAGAGTTCTCCTAAATATCAAAAGCTTGGCTCAGAAGTGGGGGACAAAAAGATTTTGCCTAAACAAAAAATGAGTATCAGCAAATTAGAATGGGTTTCTTGGTTAATCAGCCAAAATATCACTCCTCTGCCAGAGACGAGAAGAAGTACTGCCTCCAAAATTCCCTGAAGGTCTACCCTGAGAGGTAGAAAACCCTCTAAAGCAGGCTGCTGCTGAACTTTTAAGAGAAACAACAACCTCTCAAAAAATCTAGTAGTACAAATGACAGCCAGGGAGGGCTATGGATTTTATCAGACATGGAAGAAGAGACTGCTGTAGAGCTATGAGTATTTCTTGTCACCTCAGAAGAGTTCCTTCTACAAAGGAGCTAGTGTTACCAATGAGAACATCAGGAACTCTTCAACAACATTAAACATGTAAATTAATCTGGCAGATCACTTACAGTGATTGTTGTCGTTTCCCAGCATCACTGAAAGCACATGGAAAATGTCAGTTGATTGAATGGAAATAGACGATAATCCTTTTGGAGCTCTGAGGGGAGATCCCATCTCCTTGAAGGACTAGCATCAGTCAGGAGAGTAGCTGAGAGATGCTGCCAATGTTATCTGACACAAATTGCCAGGACTCTGCAGAACTTTCAAGGAAGTCCTCCCTTCCTCAAAGGCTAGAAACAGAAGACAGTGATAAAAAAATCATCAACTCTTCTCCCCCAGATTAAAAGGTCTTCAATTTAAATATCTATATGTTAAAACTTTTTTTTTTGGTCAAATGTCTTCTGCTTATTTACTTACTCTGCTTGTTCTTACATTATGTTTATATCTACTGAATACAAAAATCTGAATAGCTGATTTTGGGTCTCTAGTCCTTAAACAACATGGGCTGAGTGATAGAAACTGTAATTCTACGAATTTTTTGGACCAGATGCAGGGAAAAGTCAATGGAGCAGCTCGTGGACTTATTTTTGTATCAGGTACTAATACCTTCTGAACTGTGCTCTATATATTTTACCTAAGGTTAGTAACAATCTGAGAAAGAATCCAGGTGATGTGACTGCAGTGTTCTCCATAAATCAAGGGCCGTCTATACCCAAAGATGCACCAGTGCTTTTTTGGGTGTAGATCAAGCCCAGGAGTTGCCTGCTATGCTACCTTAGTTGTCAGTCACTGCTTTTGTCATGCAAACAGAATGCTTGAAGCATGTTTAACAAAGGCCAATATAAAAAGAACGGAAAACCTTTTCTGTAATATGTTGCTTTGGGCAAGCATACGCCCTCTGAAATTTTCTTGTGCCACAGATTTCTCATTACTGTATGCTAAAAGCATTTGGCACTGCCAAATCCACCAAAACCTGTTTTTCAGGGAGGGTGGTACACTTACAGGTGTACCTGCAGGTGTACCTGAGTGGAAATGGTAGGCAGTTTCAAAATCCTTGAAAATCAAGCATACACAAGGACTGTAGGGTTAAGTGATTGAAGGCAGAAGGCATTCTGGTTACATTTTACATTCTTCCCTTTTACAGCACTGTTGAATTACTTTGTTTGTGTGCATAAACAAGAATTATAATGAGATTGCTATCCAAAAAGCTGATGTTTCCATTACCAGTGTGCACCGTCACATAATTTCTGAGGAGACTTTACCTGTAGCTTACAGCAGTCTACTAGAAACAATAGTGGGCCCTGTAGCAATGAGGTGGCTGTTAATTGCCACGGGTGTTTGGCATTGACGGAGTTCTTTGTTGGCAACCGTTCTAACCCAATTATGTTTCTAAAGTAGGACTGAAAAGCATTGTAGGGAGCACCATGTAAATGGCACTAAATGCACCGAGACTGAGCGACCTCCCAGAAAGATAGACAGGTGCCAGCTAAAGCCCCATATGATTGATTTTCTACGGCTAAAATGGCAACCACAGACATCTGGTTTTGCCCCACTTATAACAACAGCAGCAAATGCGAGCTGTTGTCTTAGTTAGAACAGGAAGGCTTCTTAGAATCATATAGAGGTATGACATTTTGCTATCAATGGGTGAACATTTGCTTTTCAGTGAGCAAACATTTATATTTCCAGCACTAGGAAATGAGTTTTCAGTCCTCAGAAAAACACCCTGAGTCTGTGTGTGTGTACATGCATGCGTATATGACTGAGTTTAGGACTCAGGCTTCTTTTAATGCAGGCCTGATGTTTTAAGTCAGAGATTTTTGTTATATGTAGGTATAGCTATATAAAATGGGCCAAAGCCAGCATAAAGAAAACTAACCATTCAATTGAGTGGTATCACATGGGTAGGAAAAAGCTTGGCAGATCCAGGACTGGTGGAAGAGAGTCAGCTGAGCATCTTATGATGTTTCCACAAGCCAGCAACACTAACGTGCTTTCTAAATTGTCCTTTAATAGGAAGTGCAGTGTTGCAGTTCTTTGCTGTTGCACACATGGATTACCATTGTTACAAAGAATTAAGACCCAAGGCAGGTGCTCTTCTACCTGTTTCCCTGCTACTAAGAGGGTCAAAAGCTTATCCTGTTAAATTACTTTGTATTCCTGGGAGCGTTACACGAGACTCACAACAGACTGTGATGTGATAATATATGGGTCAATCCAATGAGCAGTTGCAAAGGCAAAAGCTAATTGACTACATAGGAGTTCCTGTATCCTTTGTCCATGGTCGCTTCCTCATGATAAAAGAGACTTTTTTTTTCTTTTTTTTTGAGGGGGTGTGGATTTCCTCAGTCTGCAAAACTATGCAATGAAGGACAGTATGGATGTTAATTTATGCAGCTCTCTCTTATACAGACTAGAGTTTAATAATCTCTTTTTGTTATAAGAGCTTCACAAAAGAGACTGAATCACAGAAGGTGAAGTTCCAGATCCAAAAGCAAAGATGTGATCACTACAGCTTAATGATACAGCAACCATCGTTAGTTCTTCTTTGTATAGTATTTATGCCTTGTCATCAGAAGCTCTAATATAGTCCAGGTTATTACTGGACCAGTGTTGTATTGTCACACGAAACAGTTCACTAGCATGATTTTCTTTCTTTGTCTGTAATATGTCCCCAAACAGGGACATATTTACACAACTATGAGAGCCAGACCTGTAGGGAGGAGCAGACCTAAACATGCCACTTGCCACCTCTGAGCCAGAAGTGGCCTGAATGCACTGGCACGAGCAGATTGACCTGTTTGTGCCAATTCTGGCTCCCCAATGCTGTACCTCGACCATTACCTGTACCTGGGCTAGTAACCTTATTGCTGGTTTATGTCTGCCAGTGCTGTCACCGCAATGACATCTGTTCATCCCAGGCTTGGATGATCATTTAGTCCTCCCAAGGCCCGTAACTGTCAGTCAAATTGAGCCGGCAAGCATTTTTCTTACCACCCAGACTACACGTTAGATGAGAGGGCTGCTCCAACACACCTGGCCTGCTCTCCTCCGACATAAACCAATTCTCAGCAAGAGCCAACTCCCAGTGAGAGGAGCACGACAATTCCCGTCAGCGCTGCCCCGGGGACGCTCAGGGCTATCCCCTGCAGGAGGGCCCGACAGCCGGGGGTAACAATGCCGCGGGCTCAGGTGAAAGGCACCCGGGGGCGGAGGCACTGAGGGACCCGCTAGGCGCTGGCCCGACCGACGGGGCCCGTCCCGGGTGCCGCGGGCCCGACCCACACTGGGGATCCGCCTGCGGCGCCGCTGAGGTAAAAGCGCCGCGGTCCACCTCCGCGTTCTTCCCTGGGAGGTGCCACGCCGCTCGCGCTGATTGGTCACCTTATTCCCTTGGCCCAATGAGCTCCTCCTGGTGGAGGTCTGCCGGCGGTGAGGTCACTGAGCCGTGGCCCAATGCGAGAGCGAGGCCGAGCAGAAGGCGGGCGGGGATTGGCCGGCCGCGGTGCTGGCGCGGGACGAT